ATTTGGAATAATAGAATAGAATAGTAGATCGTAATGTAACAAAATAGTAGAAATTGAAGTGTATTTCTCTGGTCTGGGGACGGGGGGATAAATCTTCACAGGCAATCACCCCACTTCAAAGAAGATGCTGTAAAGTCGCCTCCCTGCTTGAGAGAAGATGAATGGCTTGGGTCTCTCAAGCAATTGCTCTAAGCATTCCACAATTAAGGACACACCAATCTCCAGTTTTGACATATTTATTTCCTTCACTGCTCACCCCAGAACTGAACCCAAGCAAATAGCTTACTGCTCCTGTTTGATCCTTGAATCTGTTACACATCTTCATTATGCTGTATGAGAATTTAGTGCTCACATTCTACCTATATACATGGACTGATAATTTCAATTTATGTCTCTGTCCCTGTCATGACTCTAATTGGCCCTTTATGGCAACTAAGCCTCTCTTCCTATATTTAATGGTTGAGGAAATTCTGTTTCACTGTATCTGAAGAAGTGTGTTTATACGCAAAAACTTGTCTTGAAGGTATCACTGGATGGAAACTTTGTTCTCCCCACAACAGTCACCTTGTGAGGTAGGTGGGGTTGAGAGAGTTCTGAGGGAACTGTGACTGGCCAAGGGTCACCCACCAGGCTTCATGTGGAAGAGGGGGAAATCAAACCTGGTTGTCCAGATTAGAGTACACCACTTCTAACCACTGTACCACAGCCTGTCCTCTGACCTGGAAGTTTTATATACACAATCAAATTGTTCACCAGAAACCTAGATTCTCAGAATTAACATAACTGAACCTCCCTGGGACACAATTCCCATAATTTCATAGCATTCATCATCATACCTTTATTGGCATTATAAAAGGAAGAACATTGAGCAAATACATAAAATAACTAAACACAAAATGAATCACGAATTAAAATATCCCAGTGTTTATATTGCTTCATATAACCCTAACCTAGATTCTCAGAATTAACATAACTGAACCTCCCTGGGACACAATTCCCATAATTTCATAGCATTCATCATCATACCTTTATTGGCATTATAAGAGGAAGAACATTGAGCAAATGCATAAAATAACTAAACATAAAATGAATCACGAATTAAAATATCCCAATGTTACAGTATATTGCTTCATATAAAAAACCGCAACATATAAAAGTTTTGCCACTGAATCAGTTCTATTGCCATCAGTGCTGTTAAGTAGAAACAACAGTTTATATGCATCAGGAAAATCCATAATTCTGGATAAGATTGAAGATAAAATACTTTGTCTGATATTATTATAATAAGGACATTCTAGCAACACATGGGACACATTGGACACTTTCAATAGCTCCATTAAAACAGGGGCAATGTCTATTAATAAGGGGTATACCCTGAAATCTTTTGGTTAAAATTGCCAGTGGTAAAAGCCTGGCAAGAGAAAAAATTCTGCGGATTTTTGGGGTTCGAAATTGGTAAAAATAACTAGGGAGAAGTCCTACAATGGGACTCCCATGGCTAAGAGGAGACCAGGTCTTATTGGCTGCATTGTGAAGATTGGCTAGCTTCCTCTCCAGTACCCTGTTCCTTACTTTTTGAAAGACCTGTGATTCTGAGAGTAAGATTCGAGGGAAATATTCAGAGTACCCAGTTTACTCTCTATGGTTGCTAGCCACGGTGAAGACTCAGATTCCATTAAAAGCTGGCATTTGATTGTATTAGGTTTTCCCCTTCCCTTGTTTTTTGGAATGAAGAGAAGACAAATCTTCAAGAACTAGGGCTGCCAGATCCCTTTGGGGGTGGGTTGCTCACTCTAGGGGCCTCTGACCTGCCGGCCCAAATCTGGCCGGTGGAGGGAACCCCACCCTTAAAGTCCCCAAATCAGGCCAACATGCCTGGTGTAATGACGTCACCCAGAGATAATGTCATCACACCAGTCACATCACCAGGGAGACACTCTAGAGCATCCCCCGGTGACATACCTAGTGTGATGATGTCACTTCTAGACACGGAGCTCTCCCCCCAGGTAGGAGACCTGGTAACCCTATCAAGAACTAAATGGTTTTATGCAAACAGGTCCACCAATGAAAGAGGCTGCTGAATTGAAAGTCATCCCACATTTCTTACTTCAACCACTCTCTTGTCCCCCATGTGAACTCAACACAGGATTAACCATTGGTACTAAGCATATGCTTAGGCACTTTCAGTTCTTCACCTATATCCTTAAGTCACTATGCTAACTTGTAGGCTGCAGCTGTCTTATGCTCTACAAGCTGACCCAGTCTGGTTTCCACTGGAGCAGTGTCCTCAGGCCTGGATAGTGAGACTTGGGAACACTGGCAGAAACTAACAGCAAGGCACTGGAACACAGCGTTATGCCTACTGGACAGGTTTGTCAATCAAGGCAGCCTTCCTAAGCCTCAGCCTAAATAGGCCAGGAGCTAATCAGCCTTGGCTGAACTGCTGAAAGCATTAAGCTCCTGCAGCTGCACTGTACTTTGGCCTGGATCCTGCGAATAAGTATTGCTCTCCCTGCATGGCTCTGGGATGGGGTTGCCTGCAGACAATCTGTCATGTCACGTCCTTTGGGCCATCTTCTGCTGCTGCTCTTCCTAAAGAGTGGGTATGGAAACCAGGGGGTTATGGGCCCAGGTTTGAGACTTATGCAGTGGAGGCATGGTGGCTATCTCAGAGACCAGTGGCTATCTCAGAAAACTCACTTGCAGGTTCTGACAGGATTGCTGCTAGAACAGTATCTGCTGGTGCCTCTGTCATATTAGGCATCTCTTGTCTGGCTGGCTCTCCTAAGCCAATGTCTAGGTTCCTTGGGATTTTTGCAGATTACTCTGATACCATCACGGAGCTGCTAGAAGGGTGTCATAACAGCAGCACTGGACACAATGGTAAATGGCAAAGCTCTGTCATCAGAGCACTATAGAATTGCAAAACTGATATGTGATTTTCTTGAGGCTCACAAGGGAACAGAACTCTTTCCAGAGTTAAAATGCAGGTCCAATCTGCATCTAGCATTTGCTTCGTTGTTGTACCAAACCCACACTGGAACAGAAAAAGGTGTGGCTCAAAACCACATTCAAATACCCCAGGCCAATGCTGTACTGACTGCAGAGTCACCCCTGAATGGCCATAAAACGGCCATAAATCTATGCAGACAGCCACCATAAAACCGGAGATCAAATGATGTGAAAGCAGCATGCAGTCTGGAGGCTGCCATAAAATTCGACAATCAATCAAAGTGAAAGTGGCATGCAATGTAGATGGGAATTTCTGTTCCAGTGTGGGTTTGGTAAGACAGCGGAGCAAATACTAGATGCAGATTCAGCCACAGTATCTTCTGCTTTGTAGTTACCACTTTTCCCCTTTATACAGATTTTGCCTTGACCTCGATGGCCCAGACTAGGCCTATTTTTTTTCCAGATCTCTGAAACTCAGCAAGGGTGGCCACAGTTAGTACTTGGATGGGAGACCACTAAGGAAATCCAAGGTTGCTTCACAGAGGAAGGCACTTGCATGCCACCTCTTTTCCATCTCTTCTTTGAAAAGCCCATACCATAAGTCATCTGTGTCCTGGCAACATTTTTCACCACCATTGTAGTCTTTCACCTATAAAAACCTGCTTAATCCACACTTATTAATAATAGGAACCTGTACTACAGTTGTAAACTGTCCAAGAGAGAGATTTCTTATAGTGTAAAAACTGGCACTTTGATCTCAGGCAAAGATCAGGTGACACGATTCACCTATACAGCAAATCAAACTGCTATGATTTGGATTAACCAGTTCAAGAACCAACAATCCTAGTCCCGCTCTTGCCCAAGGTGTCTCAGGTTGCTTGGGCAATGGACAGTGCAAACCTAAGCATAGTTACACTCTTCTACATCCATTGACATCAGTGGGGTTCGAAGGGTGCAACCCTTTTTAGGATTGTCGCATTTGAGGGCCATTTTGGTGGCCTTTCCAATTATATCAAATGCCCAAAGTCACTGGTCTTCATGAAATCTCTGCCATGTGAACAGACTGGACAGAATAACTTGTCAGCTTAGTTTCCCACATTGATGGTGTTGGAGGCAACAGATCTCCTGGATATGCAGGGTTCTTACAGGAAATGCCTCCTCTTTAAAGGTAAAGGTAAAGGTTCCCTTGCTCGAAAGCCAGTCGAGTCCAACTCTAGGGTTGCGGTGCTCATCTCCGTTTCAAAGCCGAAGAGCCAGCGCTGTCCGAAGACGTTTCCGTGGTCATGTGGCCGGCATGACTAAACACCAAGGCGCACGGAACGCTGTTACCTTCCCACTGAAGTGGTACCTATTTATCTACTTGCAATTTCTTGCTTTTGAACTGCTAGGTTGGCAGGAGCTGGAACTAGAGACGGGAGCTCACTCCGTCATGCGGCAACTCAGGTCTTGAACTGCTGAGCTACCGACCTTCCACAGCCTGCAGTTCAGTGTGACTTTTGGGATCTACCTGGTTCATGGACCTCAGAACCAGATCTAGGGAAGCTCATGCCATTCCTTCAGAGGCCATATCTCAGCTCACATATTCTGTATTACATAGACATGTCATGTGTCTAACAGCACATTCGTTTAACAGCAGGTCCTGAACAACTGTTACATTGAACTTTGGCTCTCCTAAGGTCAGTTCCATCCTTAAATACTCTAAGACAGAGGAGTATTTCTTGTCCCAAAAAAGGCACAGCAGTAATTAAGCTTGGAAAAACAGGTGAAATACAAGTGAGGCCAAGAAAAACCCAGATACTGTGGAGGTAATTATACCCCCTGCAAGTATCCTGTTGAGGCAATTAGCCCCCCTGCAATTAACCCCCCCTCACACAATTATCAATGTACTCTGTTCACCTAACCAAAGCTGCAGCAGAATATATCAGGAAACGCCCTTTTACCAATCTGAATTATAAAAACTGCTGTGTCTGAGAGGTGGGAGAACATTTCATATTCGACTTTGATACACCAGGTTTGAAACTGTTGTTTTGACAAGTTTCCATACCAGGATGGTGAGGCTTATGGTGTTCCTGCTTCTACTATCACCTATCCCATGCAAAATAGGTTGCAGGAAATTCTCTAAGGATGAACCCATTCCTGTTCCACATGAGTGGTATCAGGCAGGGCACCTCCTCATTGGTGGCATGGCATCTCAGATGGTTTATACTCTTCACACATTGCATTTTGATCAGCATCCTTCTCAGGACTTGTTTAATGATATACTGTAAGATATTTTTTCCCTCCTAGATCTTAAAGGTAGACATGTGGCGTATGAAACAGATATCCTTTCAGGTCGAGCAGGATAGACACCTGTCTCTATAGCTTTCAGTATAACATGATACAACATTGTGGCCCAGCAGGGGTTCCTGATTGTGGTTTAATGATGAAGAACTAGCAAGAACTTTAGGGTTGACCTCTCTTTATTCTGGGCTTGCCAAAATGTGTCTCAAATGAAGTTATATATCTAGAAACTGGCTCATCTTTAATGGAAACTTGTGCATTGCTTATGAAATTGAAATACTGGCTACGTCTACACTATAACTTTGAATCTGGGAGCCTCATATATCACATACTCTCTGAGCTCAATGTGTCAAATTGGTCTGCATACATTGAGGGAAAAAATCAAAGTTCTGGGTCTATCTATAGAATCACTGTCTATGCTGCCCTCTGTTGCTGCATTTCAACAGATTAAAAACAGGATGTTAGCTATTGAGTGCCAGAAATTATACAGTTTAGCCAATAAAACCCACTCCTCTTTGAGTTTCGAGATCCCTCCTATTACAGGGAAGATGGCCTCATATTTATCTTCCCCGCAGGTCCCACAACAACACAGCATTTACTCTGTCCAGATGCAATACTATGCCTTCTGCCATTTTATATGGCAGATATCTCACTCAGATGACAAGATATCTCACTCAGCCAGATACTGCCCCTGCAAACAAAAATGTGCCGAGTCAATTACTCATGTCCTTCTGCATTGTCACCTGTATGTGGATCTAAGGTATATATATTTGACTTTAAGCAGCATGATGCACTTAGGGTACACAGACTTCTAAATGATTTCTGTTCTGACATCACTGAGAAGGTGTCCAAGTTTCTCCACTCTGCTTTAAAGCTGCACCAAAGGACCCCAGAGACATAGTATTTTCATAGGTGTGTTTTAATCTGCTCTTAAATTGTACAATCTAGAGACATAGCATTTTTATAGGTGTGTTTTCAATCTGCTCTTCAATTTTATAATCTGTATTGACAATTTATGCCAACAAAAGTGAATTTGAACTTGAGCTAACTCTCTTTATTCTGTGACCCTGTTCTAACTATTCAGGAATGAAGTTGTGGGCAGAAAGAAATGATCATCAAGAAAGACAGAACAAAGTTTTCTGATTGATGTGTTCTTTTCCAGTATATTAAAACCCACAAGGAGACCTCTGGAATTTTTAAAACGGTGGCAGAAGCATCATAGTTGTGTTTGGGTTCAAACACAAGTACTCGAGTAGCTCAGCAATCTCAACAATAAATAGAAGGATACCCTTGCACTTAAATCTAACATTGGTATTGTAAAATGACTCAGTTTAAACAGAATTCTACTATTAATTATTGTCTCACTCTCTTTTAAGTTTGATGATAAAGTACAACCAACACAATCTAGCACTGGCATTTGCTGTAAATGAGATCAACGAGAATCCCCAGATCTTGCCAAATGTCACCCTCGGATTCCACATCTATGACAGCTACTTTGATATGAAAATGACCTCCCGTACCACTCTGGACCTGCTTTTCAAGTTGCGGAGATTTCTTCCTAATTACAAATGTGACACCCAGAAATATGTAATAGCTGTCCTTGGAGCTCTTGATGCTGCTATCTCCTTCCATATGGCAGACCTCTTAGGACTCTACAAAATCCCACAGGTATGATCCATGTATGGAGTCTGGAGTTATTTCCCAAATTAAACTATTCAAATTCAGAGGGTAACATTGAGGAAAAGGGGGAGCACTGGGATTCCACACAAGACATAAACAAATGAAACAGAAGTGTAGAAACATGTTGTTTATAACTAGAGTTTTCTTTCTGATCATGAATAATAAAACGCTTTGGACTGATAAACAAATGAAACAGAGGTGTAGAAACATGTTGTTTGTAACTAGAGTTTTCTTTCTGATCATGAATGTTTTCATGCCAAGGTGACCTCATATCAGGTTCGTTTGTTGGTCAAATCTGATTGCATAAGGGTTTTCTTTTATCTTTGACAGTTAATTAAATCAGTTACAGAAATATTGAATTTATTGCCTTCTAAAAGAGATTAAAAATTAAATTTGGCTTTCTAATCTCCCTTGAATAAGATTATGAGCACATCTTCGATGTATTTTAGATGTCCATGTTTGTTTAGCTCATCAATAGTTGAGAAGCAATCATTTATCTAGACAATGATCACCTTTAAAATCAAAAGATTGAGCATATGATAAGATTGTTATTTTTCAATAGAAGTGTGCAGATGTGATAAGCAAATCAGATTTCGCTGGATAGAAATATCTCATAATATATTGGGTGAGATCTCTATGACTTAGGTGTTTACAAAATTCCTCAAAGCGTTTAATATGAAGTCTATTTCACTTTAATTTTCTAACTTATTTTTTAATTTTATTTATTATTGGCACTTTTTTGCAGTAGCTATAGGGTTAATTTTCGCATATTTGTATTTTTTAAGTTATTGTCCAATAAGGAAAATTATATTTTTTTTCTTTTTTCACTTAAAGGTAACGTAAATCTCAGAACATTTTTGCCTAGTTTGCTAGTAATAGTTCAAAGAGTAGAACTCATAATTAATTCATTTATACTATCAAAATTTAGGGGCAAAGATCCTGGAGGTTTTTGGACCTACTATTTTAAAGGATAAGTCTCACAGAATTAATTCAGATTCTCTAATCAAACGTGAAAATGTGTTACCTTTTTACATAGTTTTCATGTGGGAAAAAACAGTTTAGATCTTTCTTTCCTGCGGCAACTTTTTACAAACTGTACAATTTTCATATTCATGGGGGGGGGGGGGGGCACAGACACAAGGGTTATAGATTTGGACCCAAATGTTCCAATAAACTGGTGGAGGAAAGTTCCTCCAAAATATATTGCTTTCCACCAGTGAAATATGTCACTTTTGAGCAGAGAAAACCTTGCAGCAAAGGAAAGAGTCCTTGTTAAAAGGAACATTTGATCCAGTTAATGAAGTTTAATTTTCTTCATGGTGACCAATTCATTCAGCAAATGTAGCAAGCACACAACCATGCACACTAATTCGTCTCCATCAACATTTCTTTTAGGTCACCTATGGCTCATTTTTCTCAAAGGAGAGGGATGCGACAGAAGTTTCTTCCTTCTACCGCATGGTTCCCAATGAAACGCAACAGTTTATGGGAATGATTCAATTGCTGTTGCATTTTGGATGGATGTGGGTGGGCCTTTTTGCTGCAGATGATGATGGTGGAGAGCATTTCTTGAAGACCTTTGAGTCACTGCTTTCCCAAAATGGAATTTGTTCAGCCTACACTGAGAGAATATTAAACCAAGCAAAATGGGATACAATGGAAGACATGATTGATTTACTCAGTAACATATATCGACCTTTCGAATATAGAAAAGTCAACACATTAATCCTCTACGGAGGATCTATTACCATACTTTCATTGAATAATATGATGTTTTTTGGTTCTTCTGGGCAAAATATTTCATTAAGCAGGGTGTGGATTTTTACAGCCCAAGTGGATTTCATGCTATCTGGAGGACAATGGAATTGGAATTTTGATGTGTTCCATGGTAAGTCAATGGAATTGGAACTTTGATGTGTTCCATGGTGCCATAGCTTTCACAATTCACTCAAATAAGATTCCACAGTTCAAGAAATATCTCCATGCCATAAAACCTTACCAGGAACAACAAAATGGTTTCATCAAGGAATTCTGGGAGCAGGCGTTCGACTGTTCATTTCCAAGCCTCCAGGGACCAGTGGAAGTCAATGACATGTGCACTGGAGAGGAGAGACTGGAGAGTCTTCCCGGGCTTCTTTTTGAAATGCAGATGACTGGCCACAGCTACAGTGTCTATAGTGCTGTCTATGCCGTAGCATATGCACTGGAAGCCATGATTACATCTAATTCCAGGGCTGGCAAAAGTGTTAGACTCCAAGATCTCCAACCTTGGCAGGTAAAGTTCCTATAATGAGCTAGGTTTATTACTCTCTGTACATTAGCAGAAAGTGTTACAATAGCCAATGTTGCCCTGCAGCTAGATCTGGGGAAATGGTGTTTCATACCTTTCATTGACCAATCTTGAGGGGTTTGTTTTCATTCTGTTCTGAAGAGTTCACAGAATGTTCTGCCATACACGCTTGCATATAGTCCATTAAATGTAACCAGCAAAAGCAATGGGATTTAGAATCTCAGTGTGTGAACATCAATACTTATTGGTTTCAGAGTCACCTTTTCTACCAATATACATTTACTCTGTTACTATGTAGAATCCAGACGGTTTATCATTCAGAGGATAAAAGCTGAAAGGTTCCACTGCATTTTTAAATTTCCCATTCCATGGCCCCATTCACATGCCAAATTTGCCATGGGAGAGCCACAATTGACTGGCAGTTTTTCCGGACGCAATCACACCGCAACATCTGGCAAGTGGAGTGCAGCTGTGGTCAACCCGTGGCGTACCGCCAAAAATGCGCGATAAAAACCTACCTCCTTGAAGGTACTAGCAAACGGTTTGCCATGGGCTGCCTCCGGACTCCCTCGGTGTGATCGCGCCGGCGCACGCTTTTCCCTCCGGCCCCTCATTGACACGCAGGCATGGAGGGAAGGAACCGTGGCTTGCCGCCGATGCGTGAGATCACATTCTGGTGTGTTAAATTGTGCCGGCGCAAATAGCCCCGCCTCCCCCCCGCGTTATCTGACCCCTGTGACTAGGGCCCATGATGTCTTTCCTAAGACCTTTGACTGCATTTTTTAAAAATTACATTATCATCTTGCTTGTGACATTACTTGTGGCAATTGTTCTGCTCTTAATACAATTGCAGTACTTCAGACTTCCAGGATAGGAAATTTCCCCAGCCTTCTCACCCATCTTCCCTCCTTTGCTTCCTTTGGTTGTCCTTTTGCTGTGCCTCTTTACCAAAGTAAAATCTGGTATACTCACCTTAGTTCTTGAGAAATCAGAGACAGGAAGGAAATGGGAAGGAGGTGGCTTGGGCACAGAAGCGTGGCTGGCCCTGGGGGTAAGGGGGATGGGATCTGCCCTTAGAGGTTTACAAGCCCCTTTTTGTTTGCACACAAAGTTGAATGAAGTATGACAATAAGATGGAGGGCTAAGGTTATCTTGCTTCTGGTGGTGGCGGCATGTGATGGTTGGAGACAACATGGAATTGCAGGCCTAAGAAATGCGCACAACAATTACTTTAACAACACTGCTGGAGCGTCCCCTTGATTTAAATTCCCCCCCCCCCATGAAAATGCTGATCATACTACTGACAGGGGATCTATATGTAAGAGAAAAAAACATAAGAACTTAAGAGATGCCAATGTTGGATCAGGCCAAAGGCCCATCCAGTCCAACACTCTGTATCACACAGTGGCCAGAAATACCAGTGCCATCATGAGGTCCACCAGTGGGGCCAGGACATTAGAAGCCCTCCCACTGTTGACCCACATGTATGTATTTCCATAGTTTATCATATATTCCATATATGTATTTCCATAATTTATTCTAATAGAACAAAGTCTGAGTCCAGTAGCACCTTTAATACCAACAAAGTTATATTGAAGCTATAAGCTTTCATGCGCAAGCACACTACCTCAGATATAGGAAAGCATGATTTCCTCAGGGCAACATACAGGAAGATGGGGAACCATCAGGAAGGGCCAGTCAGAGGCAAGATGCGTAAGTAAAGCTGAGATTGTATCAAGGCAGCTGGTAAGATCAATGAATGACAGCAAATTAGACAGAAATGTGAGAGCTAACAAACTGATGTGAGAATGAAGCTTGAGTCCAGTGGAACCCCCAAGACCAACCAAGCTTAACCCTAGGTACATGGCAGAACCATGGGTACATTGAAACAGATGTTCTCAAATATTACATACACGTGGGGGGATTAGTTGCCAGGAAGAGCTAGTTAGAGTCAAAATGCATAAGTAATTGAGCAATAAATGCAGCTAAGATTGGAATTACACATTAGGTAAGACATGTAAATAGCACCAAATTGGCATACAGATAACAAAGAGAAGAAACGAAAAAGAGATTGGATTTATACCTCGCCCTTACTCCCCAAAGGAGTCTCAGAGCAGCTTACAAACTCCTTTCCCTTCCCCCCAACAGACACCCTGTGAGGTAGGTGGGGCTGAGAGAGCTCTGACAGAAACTGCTTGTTTTCAAAAACAGCTGTGCCAGAACTGTGGCTTGCCCAAGGTCATCCAGCAGCTACAAATGGAGGAGTGGGGAATCAAACCCGGCTTTCCCGGATTAGAGTCCACGTACTTAACCACTACACCAAACTGGCTCTCTACACCAAACACCAAAGGCATTAACAACAGACCTGAGAATGAAGTTTGAGTCCAGTGGTACCTTTAAGACTAACAAATTTCTGGGTATAAGTGAGAGCTGAGTGACTTAATGTGTGTAGTGAAATGAATATCCGATATCTGTTAAGCCCTGAGGGTTCCATTGTCCTGCGTGTTGTAATAATTTGTAATACAGCAATCTCCCATTCCAGCACAGGACTAAAAGAAATAATAACAGAATGCCACTAGGGGTCACATACATCTCTCACCTCTCAGTTCAATGCATCATCAGCCACTTACAACGTCTAGTGGATAATGACAGTTCTCCTTCACAAGTTATGGAGGGGGGTGTATTTCAGAATATTAATACATATATTGTAAACATCTGTAATCAAATTTCTTCTTACTGTGGATGGGTAATTACGTGCAGAAAGGAAAATAACTCAGAAGACGATTCAAACTGTGCTTGTAATTTACTTTTCAACTAGCTCCATGCATATCTTCAGGGCATAACATTCAACAACTCTGCTGGAGAAACTTTGTCTTTTAATATTAACAAGGAAGTAGAAGCTGGATTTGACATCATGAACATGGTCACATTCCCAAATAGGTCTTTCCTGAGAGTCAAAGTTGGAAGGGTTGATTCCTCTGCTCCCAAAGGGAAACAAGTCATTATTCATGAGGATATGATTGTGTGGCAGATGACTTTTAGCCAGGTATGGATTTCAGAGTGTTCTCAGGGGTCACCCCATTCCTCAGACAGGTGACGTAGTGGTTGGAACTTTCCTTTGGTGCGTACTTAGGTATTTATTGATTGATATTTCTGTCATGGATTATTAAGGCATTGTATATTAAATACAGAGCCAAAATCTCTCTGTATAATAATTCTGTTTTGGAACCAACCCACCCACCCACCCACCCCTGTTGTGATCACATAGTACCAGCAGTATTTGGGGTGGATAATGTTCTCTGATCCATATCTACTGCCCTTCTATTTTTATCAGTGAATAACACTGATTTGGGGGGACGGAAGTTTTCTTTGTATCATTCTCCATCTCTCTGAGATATGCCTGGGCTTTATAGAAGTCATAACCATCTACTAAATTAAAAGAGACGAAGGCAAAATTTTGGAGGGATAGATAATTCAATACATCATGATAGCTGTAAATTGTTTACCATGTGTTTGTTAATGCTGCTCTGGGTTAAATAAAGCAGTTACTTTTGCTAGTCTCAAAATTTGCCTTACTGAAGAAAGAGATGGGATGGATATTTCAATCCCTCAAACAAGAGACAAGGGAAATCCTTTTCCACTTAAACTGCTCACTTGTTTGAATGTTGTGAGCAGGGGGGGAAACCCCTTATGAATCCAGTCTCATACTCCTTTCATGTTTCTGGATAGGGGCCTCCCCTTTCCGAGTGCAACGCTCACTGTCCTCCTGGTACTCAGAAGAAAAAGAAGGAAGGGGAGAAATTTTGCTGCTATGATTGTGTCCCCTGCTCAACAGGGAAGATTTCAAGCCAGAAGGGTAAGCACTGTAGGATTATTATTATTATTGAAGGGAAGGAGCAAAGGGATGAAGTCTTTGTTGGTTCTTGTGTGCTTTTGGGGGGTTGGAAGGACAGAGGCATATGTTAGTTGCATAGCTGAGAAGAAAGATGACACCTATAATTCCTGGCTCCTTACATATTGGGTGGGTAAAGAGAAGGGTTGCCAACCTTCAGTTCCTGGAGACCTCCTGCTATTACAATGGATTTCCAGATGACCAAGATCAGTTCCCTGGAGAAAATGGCTGCTTTGGAGGATGGACTCTATGGCATTGTCCTGCAATGAGGTTCCCTCCCCTCCCTAAACCCCACCTTCCCCAGGCTCCACCCTCCAAATATCCAGATATTTCCCTACTCAGAGCTGGTAACCCTAGTAAAGAGACCCAGTTCTGATTTCCCTCCCTGTCTCAGTATATATCCCTTCACCCAAGTGTTCTCCATTCTCCCCTTTTCTTAGAAGAAGAAGAGGAGGAGGAGGAGGAGGAGGAGGAGGTTGGATTTATATTCCACCCTTCACTCGGAGTCTCAGAGCAGCTTACAAACTCCATTCCCTTCCCCTCCCCACAACAGACACCTTGTGAGGTAGGTGGGGCTGAGAGAGCTCTGAGAGAACTATCCTTGACAGAACAGCTCTGACAGAACTATGGCTTTCCCCAGGTCATCCAGCAGCTGCAAGTGAAGGAGTGGGGAATCAAACCCAGTTCTCCCAGATTAGAGTCCGCACACAACCACTGCACCAAATTGGCATCAATTATTGGTTTCTCTGTTTTTAAATGTATTTCTATACACCCTTTGGTCTTTTCCCCTTTCCTCCAGTTTGGTGTAGTGGTTAAGTGCGTGGACTCTAATCTGGGAGAACCGGGTTTGATTCCCCACTCCTCCACTTGCACCTGCTGATGTGACCTTGGGTCAGTCACAAGCTCTGGCACAGCTGTCCTTGAAAAAGAGCAGTTTGTGTCAGAGTTCTCTCAGCCCCACCCACCTCACGGGGTGTCTGTTGTGGGGAGGGGAAGGGAAAGGAGTTTGTAAGCCGCTCTGAGACTCCCTTGGGTAGTGAAGGGTGGGGTATAAATTCAATCTCTTCTCTTCTTCTTCTTTCCTCCACAGTCTTGGTATATACTTCATTATCCTTGAATTTTCTTTCTCTTCCATTAATATCAGTCTGGTCCAATTGCTAATGTTGGACTAGGGCCTGGGAGACCCAGCTTCGAATCTCCAGTCTGTCATGGAAGCCTGCCTGGTGACCTTTGGACAGTCACAGACTTCCAACTGAACCTACCTCAAAGGGTTGTTGTGAGGATAAAATGAAGGAGAGAAGAATGATGTCAGTTTCTTTGGGTCCATATGGGAAGAAAGGTGGGGTATAAATGAAATAAACGAATAAATAAATATTCTTAATAACTTATCTAGGATACAAAATGAAATAAATGAATAAATAAATATTGTTAATAACTTATATAGAATACTAGCCTGCTGCCCGTGCTTCGCTACAGTATTTAAGTTCTGTAAACCCACTTATAACACTGATGATGTGAAATTTGAAATGTGACCGTTGTTGTAGGAATTCTAGTGGAGAAGATTGTAGTGTAAGAAATGAAGTGAGACATACGTACTTTCCCCCTCTCTACCGAAGAACCTCTCTTACCCATGCTTCGCTATGGTATTTAAGTTCTGTAAATCCAGTTATAATACTGATGATGTGAAGTTTGAAATGTGACATTTATTGTAGGAATTCTAATGGAGAAGATTACAGTCTAATCTCTCTGCTGAAGGACCCCTCTTAAGTGTAATCTCTCTACTGAAGGACCTCTCTGTAGACCACAGTGGTGGTTCTGCCCTCAGGTGCTTGGATCACCAGGCTGCTTGATGAGCTCACTCTGGAGCAGGCAACATAGAACTGTCCATTTAAGAAGCAATTGTCTGTTAAGTCAACTCCTGCCACCTTCCACGAAAGTGATGGCCTCTCTACTTGTGTTCCTGGACTGTTTTGCTCATATGGAGACTGTGTTGTTCTGAGCACCTCGGGGTGATCTTGCTGGTACCTGGCCTGTGCGGCTCAGTGCACTGCAGGAGTGCTATGTGCAAATGTCTTTGCCACATTCCTAAGTTGCCTCCTCCTTGTAGCATTGGTCAGATGGGCAACACCGAAATCAGATTGACTATATAATTTGCAGTCAAAGATGGAGAAGCTCTATCCAGTCAGTAAAAACAAGACCTGGAGCTGACTGTGGTTCAGATCATGAGCTACTCATTGCAAAATTCAGACTTAAACTGAAGAAAATTGGGAAAACCACGAGGCCATTCAGGTTTGACCTAGATCGCATCCCTGATGAATATACAGTAGAGGTGAAGAATAGATTCAAGGGTCTGGATTTGATAGATAGAGTGCCTGAAGAACTATGGACAGAGGTTCGTGACATCGTACAGGAGGCAGCAATCACCACCATCCCAAAGAAAAAGAAATGTAAGAAAGCAAAGTGGCTTTCTGATGAGGCTTTACAAATAGCAGAGGAAAGAAGGAAAGCGAAAGGCAAAGGCGAAAAGGAAAGATTTACCCAACTGAACGCAGATTTCCAGAGAACAGCAAGGAGAGATAAGGAGGCCTTCCTGAATGAACAGTGCAAAGTAATAGAAGAAAACAATAGAATGGGAAGGACTAGAGATCTCTTCAAGAAAATTGGAGAAATCAAGGGAGCGTTCCATGCAAAGCTGGCCATGATAAAGGACAAAAACGGTAGGGACCTAACAGAAGCAGAAGAGATTAGGAAAAGATGGCAAGAATACACAGAAGAACTATACAAGAAAGACCTCGATGTCCTTGACAACCACGACGGTATAATCACTGACCTCGAGCCAGACATCCTGGAATGTGAAGTTAAATGGGCCTTAGAAAGCATTACTAACAACAAAGCTAGTGGAGGTGATGGTATTCCAGCTGAGCTATTCAAAGTCTTAGAAGATGATGCTGTTAAAGTTCTGCACTCCATTTGCCAGCAAATTTGGAAAACGCAACAGTGGCCACAGGATTGGAAAAGATCAGTATACATTCCAATCCCAAAGAAGGGCAATGCCAAGGAATGTTCAAACTATCGCACAATTGCACTCATATCACACGCTAGCAAGGTCATGCTCAAGATCCTACAAGCTAGGCTTCAACAGTACGTGGATAGAGAACTACCAGAAGTACAAGCTGGGTTTCGAAGAGGTAGAGGAACTAGAGATCAAATTGCCAACATTCGCTGGATTATGGAGAAAGCAAGAGAGTACCAGAAAAATATCTACTTCTGCTTCATTGACTATGCTAAAGCTTTTGACTGTGTGGATCACAACAAACTATGGCAGGTCCTTAAAGAGATGGGAGTACCAGACCACCTCACATGTCTCTTGAGAAACCTGTATAAGGGCCAAGAAGCGACAGTTAGAACCGGATATGGAACAACTGATTGGTTTAGCATAGGAAAAGGAGTACGACAAGGATGTATATTGTCGCCTTGCTTATTTAATATATATGCAGAGTACATCATGCGAAATGCTGGCCTGGATGAATCACAAGCGGGAATTAAGATTGCTGGGGAAAAGATCAACAACCTCAGATATGCAGACGATACCACTCTAATGGCAGAAAGTGAAGAGGACCTAAAGAGCCTCTTGCTCAGGGTAAAAGAGGAGAGCGCAAAAGTGGGCTTGAAGCTCAACATCAAAAAAACTAAGATCATGGCATCCGGCCCCATCACTCCTTGGCAAATAGAAGGGGAAGTCGTGGAAGTAGTGACAGACTTCACGTTCCTGGGATCCCAGATCACCGCAGACTGTGACAGCAGCCATGAAATTAAAAGATTTCCTTGGGAGGAAAGTGATGGCGAACCTAAACAGCATGATAAAAAGTAGAGACATCACCCTGCCAACAAAAGTCCGCATGGTCAAAGCAATGGTATTCCCAGTAGTCATGTATGGCTGTGAGAGTTGGACTATAAGGAAGGCCGAGCGCCGAAGAATAGATTCTTTTGAACTATGGTGCTGGAGGAGACTCTTGAGAGTCCCTTGGACTGCAAGAAGAACAAATCAGTCAATCCTCAAAGAAATCAACCCTGACTGTTCCCTGGAAGGCCAGATAATGAAACTGAAGCTCAAATACTTTGGCCACCAAATGAGAAGGGAGCACTCACTGGAGAAGACCCTGATGCTGGGAAAGATTGAAGGTCAAAGAAGACGGGGACGGCAAAGGATGAGATGGTTAGACAGTGTCATTGATGCAACGAACATGAAATTGAGCAAACTTCAGAGGACAGCGGAAGACTGGAAGGCCTGGCGTGATCTGGTCCATGGGGTCGCAAAGAGTCAGACTCGACTGTGTGACTGAACAACAACATGCAGTTGCAGCTAAGGTAGAACAGCTCCTCATCCTATGCCATGTTTTCTGAGTTCCAAGTGTCTGGAAAGTGGTTCCATAGCGAATTACACGGTTGCCAACTCTGGGTTGGGAAATACCTGTAGATTTGAGGGGTAGAGCCTAAGGAGGGCAGGGTTTGGGGTGGGGAGGGACCTCAGCAGGGTATAATGCCATAAAGTCCACTGGTCAAATTGGCCATTGTCTCCAGGAGAACTGATTCTGGTCATCTGGACATCAGTTGTAATAGCTGGGAAAATTTCTCTAGGGGAAATGATGTGCCGTGGCTGGGGAACACGGTGGTTTCTGGGAGATCTCCAGGCCCACAAGGAGATTGGGATATGCATTTTACCTCAGGACCCCCAACAGGAACAGCAGCCTGTTTAGAATGTTAGAGGCAAAGGCCAATCAGGCCACATATGCAAATGACCTCTGTGTTCTGACTGGCTGTGGGGGGGGGAGGAACAGCAAACTGTTTAGAATGTTGGAGGCAGGACTCAGGCAATGAAACCAGTGGATAGGGAGACCCTCTGAATGACAGATCATTCAGCCAACTGATTTTGGAGCATGTTGGAATGTTCAGGGGAAACCATGACCAAAACAGAATTATATATAAGGAGAGATTTGTTATTATTCTTGCCCACTCTTGGATGACCCTGTGATGGAAGCACCAGCTCATCATTGGTGAATGACTATTGAACCCTGATTTGTCCGTACCCCATCATTCTACTTTATAGCAGTAATAACATAGTGCATAACATATAGCAAATAACATAGTGCATGTTCAGCATTCGATACTCATTTAAATAGTATTTCTTTTTTTAAAAAGTCATTGCCTTCCAAGGCAGTCTTACACAGAAAGCAATGATCATCACACACACAACACTTAGTATTTATGAGTAAACAAAATGTAGCAGACCACGGTGGTTCAGAGGTTAAGATGCTGAGCTGCAGACCAGAAGGTCCATAGGTTGGCAGCTCACCTAGTGCTGCATGATGGAGTGAGCTCCTTTCTCTGACCCCAGCTCCTGCCAACCTAGCAGTTCAAAAGCAAGAAAATGCAAGTAGATAAATTGGTACCACTTCGGTGGGAATGTAATAGTGTTCCATGCACCTCAGAGTTTAGTCATGCCAGTCACATGACCGGAAATGACTTCGGACAACGCTGGCTCTTCAGCTTGGAAACTGAGATGAGCATCACCGTTTAGAGTCGGATTCAACTGGCTTTCGAGCAAGGGAAACCTTTACCTTTGACTTTTTAGCAGCATAAAAACATTCTTGTTGTTTGTCTGAAACATTTCTATACTGCCTCTTCCAAGACTGATACTTCACAAAAGGTAAATATAAAAACACAAGATCAAAGACCAGGAGCAGATTGGGAAAAGAGTAAAAATGAACAGCTGCCTACTTGAAATCCTGAGTAAAAATAAATGTTCTGGCCTGTCCCGGAAAAAAGAGTTGCATATCCACCAAATGAGCTTCAGAGTGAGGGCATTCCATATGCAAGGAGGGAAAGGAGTCAAAGATCCCTCTCTGCCTTGTCCCTGCAGATGAGACAGAGAGAGAAGGGCTTGGAAAAAGATCTTCATTGGCAGACTGGACAACATGGGAGGAGGTGGTCTTTCAAGTACAACAGGCCCCACAAAATCTTAGAACTTAAATATAAGAATGAGAACTTTGAAATGTGTTTGGAAACAGAAACGTAACATTTACCATGTTGTTCCTGAATCAAAGCAGGCCAGGAAATTAGCTCTGAGTCCAGGAGAATTACCACTGTTAGGCCGAGCCATTCTTTTTCTTTACAGATGCGGATGACTGCATCAAATGCCCAGGAGATCAATACCCAAGCAAGGACCATGACCAGTGTATTCCCAAGATGCTGAGCTTTCTGTCTTATGAACAACCGTTGGGGACTGGATTAGCCTCCATTGCACTTTTTTTGTCCCTAGCCACAGCCTTAGTGCTGGGAGTTTTCATCAAGCACAAGGATACCCCAATCGTCAAAGCCAACAACAGGGACATCACATACACTCTCCTCATCTCTCTCCTGCTCTGCTTCCTCTGTTCTTTTCTTTTTCTGGGATGGCCTAGCAAAGTGGCTTGCTTCTTAAGACAAGTGGCTTTTGGTATCATCTTCTCAGTGGCTGTTTCTTGTGTGTTGGCCAAAACCATCACTGTGGTTGTAGCTTTCATGGCCACCAAACCGGGGTCCAGCATGAGGAAGTGGTTGGGGAAAAGACTGGCCAACTCTATCCTTCTTTCCTGTTCCTTCATTCAAGCAGGCATTTGTATGGTGTGGCTTGGAACCTCTCCCCCTTTCCCAGATTTGGACCTGCTCTCTCTGACTGAAGAGATCATCCTAGAATGTAATGAAGGATCCGTCACTATGTTTTATGTTGTCCTCGGTTACTTGGGACTTCTGTCCCTCATCAGCTTGATTGTAGCTTTCTTTGCCAGGAAGTTACCAGACAGTTTTAATGAAGCCAAATTCATCACCTTCAGCATGCTGATTTTTTGTAGTGTTTGGTTGTCATTTGTTCCAACCTACCTGAGCACCAAAGGGAAATATATGGTAGCTGTGGAGATCTTCTCTATCTTGGCCTCCAGTGCTGGGTTGCTGGCTTGTATCTTTTCCCCTAAATGCTACATTATTCTGCTGAGGCCTGAGTTGAACAATAGGGAACTGCTCAGAAGAAGACAGAATTAAAGCATTTAAGATTCCTCTTGGAGACATTTTTTTTAATTTAGAGCAGAGATAATGGACCTAGTCCAAGAGTATTGCAGAGGGGCAATGGTTAATTTTTAAAAAATTCTATTCCTCCTTGGATATTATTATAGCCCTGTTATGTTAGGTGTTATTTATGACAAAGTGCAGAAGATGTCAGTTAATTTCATATGGGCAACAAAAAAAATCAAGGTCTACATATTCAGCTCCAAAACAAAAAAAAGAGCACGTGTAATGCCCTGAAGCCCTACTCTGTTGTTACTTTTTTGTTTGAATATATTACCAAATAGATATAGCAGTAGAATTTTGATTATTTTATGTTAAAGCATAGCTGTTTTAAAACTGGGATTATTATTTTTTGTGGTTTTATATTCTCTACGACCTTCATATCTGTTAATGTAATAATATCCCAAATGTAGCATTATATGTACTTGGACGTATGGACTGATTAACTTTTTGTATCTGTCACTATTCTCCTCTTTTTTACAATAAAGTCATTTAAAAAAATGAATTTAACAGACCAATCACTTGTCAGCAATAAACAAACAATTATGGGTGTTGTATCTGCATGACAAGGTAGTGGCTCCAAAAGTGTGGAGGGGTGAATCTTATTTGAGCATTACCTGGTCAACAAGGTTACCCAGCCAGCTGCCATATAGTCAATCAAATTGAACCTTCACAATTGTTTTTTTAAAATCATATACATAGAGATGAGGTGGATAGGTAACGGTTGCTGAAATATATGTAGATGATTACTATAATTTATATATCCTTTTAAAACACTACCTTTATTGCTCATTGTGAAGGCAATGATTTGCTGAACAACTGTGATGATGTGGAATGTTGATTAACATTCCAAGAGTCCAACAGACTGAAGGTTCTAAGGCTGTGTTCAGACTGGAAGTTTGGCCTGACAGCCAAACGTTTCAGGAGCGTTTCACTAGCAGATTAAAGGGGCGGGTTCACACAGGCACAGGTGTCCGGCATCCCCCAGCCATACTCAAGCCGTCTTGTACCACTTCCCTCCCGAGTTTTAAAAGTACCTGGTGGAAGTGGTAGCAAACCGTGTGGAAAGCAGGTTGATTCCTGTTCCCTGACATGTGAATGCTATCCCTGTAAGAACCTGCAGTCATTGATAATAGGCGCTGGCTGTTTCCGCGGCAGGCGCCCATGTGCATAGGCGCATGCAGCTGTTGAGAAATACGAGTGATATTTTGATTTATGGATTTATATTTGCTGACACACCACATGGACTCTGAATACACACATACCCATAGGCTCAGAGAAAGTGGTTCAAATCACCTGTTGTGACTGATACACATAGAAGGTGCCTGCCTGCATTTCATGTTAATGAAGTTTGCAAATACACAGCTCCTAGCCAGAGGGGAAGAAGAAGCACACATCGCCATTACTGTCAGCACAAACAACAGCTTAAAGGATAAGCAACCCCCATTGATGAACTGTTGAAAGACACGTATACACATATCTGCTCTACATCTGAATTGCCATTTCCTGGCAGATGTGCTTTGATAACCTGGGAACAGGCAAGATTCATCTACACTTCAATGGGCATCCTGACACCAAGACGTCACACCTACACAGATGCCTTCCTCTTGAATTAGAGTCTAGAGTTTCAATATTGGCCAAACCCCTAGGTAGCTGCCCCTCGCTACATGCATCCAATAGCTGTAGGGATGGGACGGACTTACAGGTAGGTGGATCCAAAGGATGGCTCAGTTGCCACCCACCCAAAGATTCACCTATAAAAGTTAAGGACCATGTGCTTGGTCTTTGCTAGCCGCATCTCCCCCCCCACCCCCTGTCTGCTTTTACCCTCTATTGTCCAGCTTTCTATACCAAAATCCTTTGTCTACTTGATCTCTTGGTCTGCAGCCAAAGAGGTCCACACTAGCTGGCTGGTTCTAGCAGTGTGATTTAGAAACATCCCTAGGTTCTAATATTCTGACCCCTCATTCTTCATTGCAACAGACAAGGCTTCAGGACAGATAAGTATAAACCGTGACCCTACCTACCTCCTAAGTAAAAGGGACTATTTTTAGTACTGTATTTCTAAGGAACTTGATTGATTGTATGTGTGAATCTGATTTTGTGTGTATGTGATTTTATATACTCTTAAGTAAAAGACAGATTATTTTGAATCCACCAGTCTCAACTCTCTCACTGGAAAATCCTTGGGGTGGACTGGACTTTGGTATACACAGGCAAGAACCCAGATTAAATTTAGTCTGCCCACTGCTGTACATAAAGCAGTTAGGCTAACACAGCGGAGCGCAGAAACAACCGCTAACAGCCTGCCAGGCACGAGCCAACAGTGCAAGTGCTCCCTTGTGCTTCCTCCACTGTTGGAACCAGGATTGGGAAAATCATGAAGGGGTTGTATGAGTCTGTTGGAAGGAGAAATACCTTCAAATCAATGAGTTAGGAAGGCAGATGGCAGTAGTCTATAGGGCTGTGGGATGAAAGGTCTAGTAGAGTTTGATAGCATGTTGCACTGTTTCAGAAATACCCATGGACATTGTTTCATCATTTTGTAATTTCCTCTCCAGTTCTTACTGCCCTTCCGATTTTTGTATCTTTTCCTGAATTCTCTCTGGTGTATCCTCTTAAAATTAAAATGTGAAGGCTTTCATTTGGGTTGCTTCTATGCTAGTCATTTAGTCTAATATACATCAGCAATTCACTAAGGTGAGTTTTCAGAGAATCCACTGAATGCCAGTGCAAATTAAGGGAGGGGAATGAATTTAAAAAGCTGACACCTACATTAAAATATATCAATTTTTGACTGAGTGTCCCCAACGTACACATTTATTTTAACATGGATTTTTCTCCTTGCTTGTAATTCCCCCTAATTAATTCAATTGATGTTATTTTTGTGTCATTGTGTACAAGTGGCCTAAAAAGAATCAGTGGCATATAAATATTGAAATAGCATAAACTGGACTATAAGTACAACTTGCTTGTAATTCCCCCTAATTAATTCAATTGATGTTATTTTTGTGTCATTGTGTACAAGTGGCCTAAAAAGAATCAGTGGCATATAAATGTCATTGAAATAGCATAAGCTGGACTATAAGTACAACAAAGAAATAAAACATAGACAAAAGAATAATCAATAAGAGCAATGGCAACGAGGTGTGGAGAAACAAAAGACAGGGGAAATATGGAACACAAAAAGCCAATAAAGCTTTGGGTCTTCCCTGCTGGATATGGTTTTTATATGTTTTTTAATGGTTTTAGAATGTTGTACATCACCTAGAGCCCCACGGTCATGGGGATTAGGCAATTAATAAATGTAATGTAATAAATAAATGAATATCATTTCATGGCATCCCCACAGTCCACCAATTTTTGCACTGTCACTGTCTTTAGAACATTTTTAATTCCATGTACAGGTTCAGTTATGTGAACTACGAGGAGCCTGACAGCAGCAACAGAGACTTGAAGGAGAGGAAAGCAGGGAGTGGCCATTTTGTCTCCTCCCACTTTTAGGGGTGGGTCGTTGAATGTATAATTCACTGTTGCTAGGTTTGCCAGGCTAAGACTGGACACTGGCAGGAGGGCTGCGACTGGGGGGATGGGGAATGTGATGCCACCGATGTCACTAAGGAAGTGAGGCTGAATTTCACAAGCTGTTGATTCAACATACATATTTATTGTTAAGTCCGGCGCTTAACAATGAGTCGGAGAGTGATTCAGCAAAAGACTCAAGTTTATTCAGCTCTTTGTTCACCTCTTCGACACGGTACAACATCTGATAGCCCGAACAGTTTGTCCATCGAAACTGCTCGGTATTTAAACATTCCCGGCTAATGTAGCCACTCCTACTATACACAAATCAACCTATCAGGTTGAGCGCATAAGGACCAATCACAAACGTTCCCGCTTGCAGCTTGCTTGAATGTGATTGGGTCGTTAGTCTCTGACTTGAATCCCCTGTCCAAGACGAAGCTTAACATAGCTTCCTAATGGGATGTTTCACACACATCCTAATGTACTTATGGCAGCTATGAATACATTACAATTCATCCCTACATTTATTTATTTATTTTGTTCGGAATCCCTCCATTAGTTCATTTGGCAACATTATTCTTATGTCAATGTCTAGAGGTGACACAGAACGAACAAGTGGCATATAAATGTCAGTGAGATGGCATAAGGTGGACTATAAATACAATAAATAAATTTAAAGAAAAGAAAAGAATGATAAATGAGAATAATGGCAATGGAGTGTACAGAAACAAATACGGAACACAACATACCACTAAAACTTTGTATCTTCCTATTGTTAGTTCGTGGCACCCCCAGTTTTCACCAATGAATGAGATTGCAGGAAGGCAAAGTTTGATATTAGAATTGAGAAATTAAGATTGGGCTGCAAATAATTGAGAGACTAACTCACAAGGAGTAGAGAGATTATGGTTTGGGTTATGGATTATGGGTTAGGGAGCTCGGACACAGCTAAAAAATAGCTCTTTTTGGTTTCCTGAAGGCTGATCGAAATTAAAGCCACGATTAATGATAAACGTTTGCAGGACAATAATCAGCCTCCAGAAACCTAATCATAGGTAAAGTCAAGGCCATTACCCATCTCTAAGCAAAAATAAAACTTTAAAGCAAAAAAAAATGTTTAAATACTGTCTTCCCATAACATTCTGCAAACTATGCAAAACTGAATTATTCAGGAAGCCACTTTTACACAGGTAACAGGGCAGCAGGAAAAGAGGAAGAGGAAGGCACAATATGAGATGGATTGACTCAATAAAGGAAGCCACAGCCCTCAGACTTCAAAGCTTCATTTTAGGACCTAACTTAACGTTAGTGTGTGGGGGGCTTTCCTTGTCCAATTAGGGCAAAAAGGGGGCTTGTGGTCAAATCTTGGGGGGGGGCTGTTTTCAGTAGTGCTGATTAGAGCGAAGTGTATGGAATAGACCATGACCTAATTTGGCTTGGTATTTACACGA